GACTCACAGTGAGGAAAATCAGGCTTAAACTCTCGCTGATCTGCTCACCTGAAAAAGGATAGCTTTAAGATAATGTTGGAAGCGCTGTGGTTTAATTGGAATTTGTAAAAATGAAACCATTCCCAGTTTAACCGGGCAGCTGTGGGACTTGGTCTCCCTGAGCTGCCCTGCCCAGGAGCAGAGGAGAGAGAAAATGTTGGTTTTCCTGTGAGAAAACCCCATCCGCTGTCGTCCTCCTGTGTCCTTGCAATGTCCTTGTTGCTGTTGACTGGAGAGGGAGGTGGCTCCTGTTTGTGAGTGATGGTGAAATGCATTAAAATAATCTTAAAAACGGACAGATGTTCTCAGAACGCACCACTTCACTAGGAGCAGCCCCTTGGCTCTGCCAAGAATCAGAAACTTCACAGAAATGATAATTTTTATCCTCCTCGGTGGTGTTTTATAGTAAAATTTACCTAAACTTAACCATTAAATGCCCATTGTGTGTGAGGGCGGGCATTGGATTCTTTACAGTTCATGTTTAGGTCTTATTCTCACCCAGGTTATGCTCAGCTCATAGTGAAATCTTATACTGCATTGTGGAATTAAACTCCATCCGCGGAGTTGATTTGTATTCCAGATCCATCTATCACAAAGCCTGCTTCTTATGAGCATGGAGAACTAGAAAGCATAAATATTTATTCCTTAAAGGTTATGATTGCCTTAAATCCTTCAAGCCTATTTGGCGAGCATCAGATGTAATTAAACCACGCAGTTGAACTCTATCTGCATGTATGAAATAATATATATCTATATGTATGTGTGTATATACATGTATATGCTTGACTCTGGTATGGTTGGAAGCTGTGAGCTAATTGCTTCCATCACATCAAAATATGCACTGATAATTTTGTTGGATGTGATGATAAATCTCTATAAAGAAGCAGTTGAAGCGACACAGTGGCAAATCGTGTTTCAGGGTATGCTGTGGTGGCAATGCGCAGAGCTCATCTCGAGTGGTGTGTGCCTGGCTATGGGAAATAATTAAGCAGATGATGAAAATTATTCCAGTTTCGGGTGTGGAGAGTTGTGGTGTGCTGGAATTCACCTGTGAGCTTACATCTACCTGGTGTCCCTATAAACCTCAGAACTGGGGGTGAACCATCAGGTGTCCATGGGGGTACCCATGCGTGGTTGGTACGTGGTGGTCCTGGCAGCGGTGGATGGGACTTGGGGCACTTCTGGGACGTTTTTGGTGATTTTTATCCCCGACCTGGTACTAAACGGGGGTGGTTTGAGCCATGATGCCTGGCCATGCTTGAGGGCTGGTTTTGGATCAGCTCAGTGTTTGGTGGCACAGACTCACATCTGCGGGCCTGAACCTTTCCCCCTTCCATTGCGAATTTAAAGTTGGACAAGGACAAGCCAGATTCCAGGCCGTGCTCATCTCTGGTATTTTTTTATTTGCTGTTAGCTTTAAAGATGAACATTTTGGATTGTCATGCTTTAGATGGTTGTCTGTATATAAAGTACACAAAGTTATAATCGGCTGATGTAGTGGTTACAACGAGCAAGGGAATAGGCTGCAGGAGTGAAATGATGGGTGAGACACTACAGGGGTGACAACCATCGAGAAAAGAGGGTAACCTCAGTAGACTCCCCAAGTTACAGTGTATGTGGCATTTACGGTACGGACAATCCTGTTGGCAGCTTGGTCAGCTGTCCTGAAAGCCCCTGGTTTTTGCTTCCTCCAGCTTCTGCACCTGGGTAACTCAAAACTGCTACAGACCTTGGTCACTGCATCTAGTCTGCTTACCAGTGTTGGTTGAAAACTAAACCAAAGTATCTTAGCAGCTTTCTTCCTTGAAATTGAGTATTGTAGCCTTTGCAGAGATGTGGCTTTCCTGAATAGAAAACTGATTCTGTGATTCTGTCCCAGCAAAACTAGGACATGGATAAATTCGAAATAGCTGCATAGGCTTTTCTAAGTTGATTGCTGTAGACAGCAAGGCAGCCATGAGCACATACCTCACCAGAATCGGAGGAGACCAGGTCATGAAACACCATTTTAAACTGTCCCTGGTGACTCTGGAAGTGGTAGGATGAAAGCATCAAGAGCCAAAGAAAACCAAACAACTCTTGGTCTATAAAATATTATCCATGGAATTAATTGTGTTGTAATGTACATCTAGCCATCACAGGCTTGGGGACGAGTGGCTGGAAAGGACCTGGGGTGTTGGTGGCAGCAATGCCCATGAGCCAGCAATGTGCCCTTGAGCCAAGAAGGCCAACGCCATCCTGGGGTGGATGAGAAGGGGTGGTTGGAGGGCAGAGAGGTTCTCCTGCCCCTCTGCTCTGCCCTGCTCACACCACAGCTGCAATCTTGGGTCCAGTGCTGGGCCCTCAGCTCCAGAAGGACAGGAACTGCTTGAAAGAGTCCAGCAGGGCCACAGAGATGCTGGAGGGAGTGGAGCATCTCCTGCTGAGGAGCGGCTGAGGGAGCTGGGGCTCTTGAGCTTGGAGCAGAGGAGACTGAGGGGTGCCCTCATTCCTGGGGATCCATTGGGAAAGGGCAGTGTCAGGAGGAAGGAGCCAGGCTCTGCTCTGGGATGGCCAATGCCAGGACAAGGGGCAATGGTCCCAAGCTGGAGCACAGGAGGTTCAAGCTGAAGATGAGGACAAAGTTTGTGAGTGTGAGGGTTCTGGAGCATGGCCCAGGCTGCCCAGAGAGGTTGTGGAGTCTCCTTGTGTGGAGACACCCAAAGCCCTGGCCGTGTTCCTGTGTGACTGCTCTGGTGATCCTGCTGTGGCAGGGGTTGCACTGGGGGAGCTTTCCAGGTCCCTTCCAACTCCTAACACTCTGTGATTCTGTGATCTAAGTTAGGAATGGAAATCCTCACTTAAGAAATGGTCTCTGAGGATATTGAAAACAGATTTTTCAGTCCATTCAAGTGTGTGTCCTGTTGGGCATCTCCATAAAACCAGGGGGGCTGTTGAGTCCGCTGTCACATGGGTTGCTCTGTGTAACTGGAGGCCCCTTAGACTTCAGTGCTGGGATTGATGGTTCCTTGGCGTCTCTTTATATCCAGAGAGCTCATCCAAGTTAATAGTGCTGCCGGGGACCTGGGCAGAAGGAGAAATAGAAATTATTGCTGCCTGGGGTCTGAACCGCGTCTGGAGCTGGGAAATGGTTCACTGTCTTGTTAGGGATGGCCAAGTTACGAGTGCCCCCAGTCACATTACTGTGCTGTAGGTGGCACAGCACACATTGTGCTGACCCGTTCCTCTCCATAAATGCTTTATTTATCATTCTTTCTTCAAAGCAGGTGTAGATTAAATTTATCATAGCACCTTGCAGCGTTATTTCTTTATCGCGCTTCTGATCGTGTCTTGCAGGAATTTCTCTTGTCCTGACTTAACAGAAAAATAATAAAAAAGAGAAATAACAAATAATGGTTCATTTTCTGGTGTTCTTCCTTGCAATTTATCTTCCCATGCTGGTGTCCTGGGGAGGAGACCACAGGAGAACATCATGGGGCTGATCCCAGAGGTTGTGTTGCTGTCTCCATTGACGTTGATGTGGCTGCTAATTAATGGCCTAGGAGCGATGTACATGGGGGAAAGGAGACGGCTGAGGGCTGGGAGGAAACCTGTAAAAATATGAAATGTACTGCTTACTTAGGGCTGTGATGATGTGTTGTACAACAGCCGCGGGGCCGTTGGTCCGTGCTGTGCGTGCGGATGTATGCGTGCATGAAAATTATAGGATTGCTAATGTTGGAAAAGCCTCGTGGTTGTCTGAGGTGTTTAATTTGCTTTTAAAATGAATAAATCATCCTTTACCAGGTCAGATCTGTGAGATACCCTGGCTCATAGCACATTGGTATCATGCAAATGCGTTATTGAACATTCAGCAACTTGGCGTCCTGGTCTCGACTCCTAAAGCTTTGTGAATCTCCTGGTTTTTTCCTAAGATTATTTATTGGCAAAGCTTTACCTTACCCTGAGCGGTGCTTTAGCAGTGTTAACCCCTTATAGGAGTATGACTGTCTAATTTTATAAGACGTTATTTCTTTTATAAAGTTTACTGGTTTATATCCATTTGTGTTGTTATAAAAGATTGTTTTAAAAATGGAATTAGATTAAAATTATGTACTATGGGTTCAATTAATTCTGTTGGTTTAAATCTATGGTTTTAATTCTATGGTTTTAATTTTGTGTTTTTCTGTACCATGTTTCAATTTTCCTTCAGCTGTGCTGAGGGTGAGTGTGGTGCTCACCTGAATTCCAGTCTGCTTCGGGATATGAGGATGTGAAACATATGTTTCATGATGTGTATTTTATTTTACTCATACAATTCGGATTACATTCAATAGAATAGATGTCTGCCTTACAGCAAAATACCCTCTCGTGTTATCGCTGGCCCAGACGATACCCGAGGCACTGGTTTTGAGGAAGAAAAGGCGACATTTTCAATGTTAAAACATTATTTGCATGGTTCTAGCAGCAGATCTGGGTTATCCCAAGTAACGTATATGAGCAACTCTGTGATTTTCCATTCTGCGACTCGTCCCTGAGTCCCTGGGCTAAAGCTGCTGATTTAAATTACCCAAAAAATCATTTCCCATGGATGGATTGGGACACAGTTTGTGATGAGTAACGGTAGAAACTGGAGGTGTGGTTTTTAGTCTTAAATAAGAAAACTGATCTTGCTGTGATCTGTTCCGAAAGCATTAATATATCCTTGCAAATTCTTGTTTTGAGGGACACATTTTTAGTAATTTAAAACCTCCACGGATGCTTCTTGGCTGAGAATCAATGGGCATCGTGGCCAGAGCAGTAATTCAACTGAACACAGACCCTATGGTTTTAACCACGCGGCCGGGTATAGAGGGAAATACTTAAGGGGAGGTTAAAAGAGAGTTCTGTGATATATAGATGAAAAAAGTGAGTTTTTTAAAAGGTGGTTTTGTTTAATGGGGAAAAAATAGCTTATTTTTTTCCTTCTGGTTTGGATGCAGGTTCTGCCCCCAGGATGGAGGCACACGTGGGCCCGTTGCTGCCAACACAACTCACCCGGGTCACGGCCGTGTCTGCCCCCGCGGTGACGTTCATGGCCACCAACCTGATGGAGCAGGCACTACCAGGTGAGTTACATCCCTACGTGCTGATGGTGTTACTGTAGCACATGTCGTGTATTTGTGTGCTGCCGACCAAACCGTGCTTTCCATACTGCGTAGAAATGGGGGAACGCTTGAAAAACGGGGCTCAAACTTGATGCCGTTTGTTTTAGCCAATTGCACTGCACATAGGTAGAGTGTTTTGGATCCTGACCAGGCCAGTGGTCAGCAGCTGCTTTGTGTTGGATGATACCAAAGGCAAATTTCTGCAATGTTTCTGGGCTCTCCAAGTCCCATGCCAGCGGTGTGCGTATGCGTGGGAACTGTAATGTGGTCATCTGCTGGGGGGTTGCTCCATGAAACATCCTTGGTTGAAGCCTTCAAGGATACCTTGTGCTCTACTCTATGGTAAAACTGGTTTATCCACTGCTGTGTAAATCATGGAATTGTTATGGTTGGAAAAGACCCTTACAATCATCAAGTCCAACCAGTATCTAACTCTCCCATGCCCACTTCCAAACCATGTCCCTGAGCACCATATCTAGATGGTTTTTAAATACATCCAGGGATGGTGACTCTACCACTTCCCTGGGGAGCCCCTTCCAGTCCCTGAGAACCCTTTCTGTGTAAGTTTTCCTTGATTTCTAACGTAAACCTCCCCTGGGATAACTTGAAGAGGGAGGGTTCCAGCCATGGAGATTGGGGGTTTCAGTCTGGAGGGGGGTCCAGCCATGGAGACTGTGGGTTTCAGTCTGGAGGAGGGTCCGGCCATGGAGATTGGGGGTTTCAGTCTGGAGGGGGGTCCAGCCATGGAGATTGGGGGTTTCAGTCTGGAGGAGGGTCCGGCCATGGAGATTGGGGGTTTCAGTCTGGAGGGGGGTCCAGCCATGGAGACTGGGGGTTCCTCACCAGCTCTGTGGCACCTCAAGGTCCTGAACACACCTTCCCAGCCGTGTTTTATGGAAAAACTGGCATTTATCAGGAGTTATGAGGTACCAGTTCAGACATGATTTACCTGATCCTTCCCACCTAGGGACTAGCAGGGCTGGGGAGGTGTTGGAGAGCTGGAGATGGGTGCACTTGTCCTGCATTTGTTCATGCATGGATTTTTGGTGTAAAAGCTCTTGTGTGGCCAGCTGAGCCGTGACCTTCGTGGTACCCATGTGCCAAAATAAAACCTTTGAAAACCCTTTGTGGTCCCTGCGTTGGGCATAACCACGGGTGGAGCAGGAGGCTCCCTCTGGAGCAGGACTGGCTGCTGCACTCGTCTGCAGTGAATTTGTGTTGCTGAGTATTCAGGCTCCGTCTGGAAATCGCTGAAAAATTTATGACACAGGCACCTTAAAAGGGCAGGAAAGTTCATGCACCTCTCTCCTGACATCCTTCAGTTTAAAGTTTCTTGTCTGGCTTGGTTTGCTTTTGGTAAACACCTTCTTTTATCACCTACTGTGCTTGAAGCCCTGCAGACTCCTCGAAGTCTCATGGCTTGCACTGACTTGCTTGCTTGTCACAAGCAGGTGATGGAGGAAATATTAACTCTGTTCATAGAATGCCAGGATGAAAAAATGCAGATTTGTGTAGGGGTCGTGCTGATCTGCAGCTGGTTAAACACTGAAATTGTGGTTTCTAATGTATTTCATATCAAATATATTCATAATGATCCTCTTGGTAGGCTTGAGAACACAAACACTCCTGATTTTATCCCTCATCTGAATAAGGATTTAACTGTGTAAAGCCTTTTGATGACTGGATGGCTTCTGGTGGTGTGGCCAGCGTGACATTTGGTCAATAGGTTGCCTAAATCAAGTGGTTATGCTGTTCAGATTTTATATGCATACAAGTAGTGTGAATAAGGTGAACATTATGTATTTGTATTACATATTAGATATGTATTATGTATTATATATTAGATATGTATTATGTATTATATATATATACACACATTACATGTTTAACTTTCTCTTGCAAGTACACACCACCACTTTCTTCCTCCTTTTGTCATCTTTAATTTGCTGCCAACTGCACAGAAGAGGAAGAAAATGGTAATTTCACTCAAGTATAATATGGATTTGTCTTTAATGCTTTTGAGGAGATCACCCTCTTTTCTATGGGTTGCTACAAACGGCCGTTTGGAAAAACAATCAAAGCAGGACTCATAATTTAAATGACAGTAATAAAAGTTCTTTCATGCCTCAAAACGCTGCAGAACAGCGAATGTGCACTTGGCCGGGGCAGTCAGGGTGGAGAGGTTGGGAAGACGCCGTCCTCCAAGGTTTGTTGGGTTTTGTTGCGTTGATTGGGGTTTTTTATTATTTAAAAGCTCTGGACTCTGAAAAATGCATTTGTTGAGTGTCTGCAGCCCAGGAGCACTGAAACACGGACGTTGTTTTTAGTGGAGGGCAATGGGAACACCAACACGTTGAGCCGTGACTCTCGTATCCAGCACACAGAGCACTTGAGCATCCGTATCCAGGCCTGTGCCACCGTGGTTTGCTGCCAGCCCATACACGGGCAGCATTAAGCCAATGTCCAGCCTTTGGCATCGCAGGCACCTTGCATTATGGATAACCCTTTCTTTGACTGAGTTTCTAAAGAAAAAATGGGGTGTTCAGCAAGACTTTGCATGGTTGGATTTTGCTTATGACAACACAAAATCTGTCTTTCTCTGAAGGCAAAATTAATGAAATTTTATGTATTTCAGAAGGAGTAAATTTTGCAATGGTCCTGACTTCTGCTAAGCATCTATTTTTGTACTGGAAGCTGGAAAAGTCCAGTCTCGACTACAAATCTGCCTTTTTAGCGAGACAAGAGCTGTATCTGCCACCCCCGCAGAGCTCTGCGTCCTTTCATAGACACACCACTCTCAGACCATTAAGTGCTTTGAAGATCAGGGCCAATGTCTGGAACCTGGTATTTAAGAGGAATTGCACATAAAGAGCAGAGGAAGGAAGGTCGGCAAGAATCGGTGAAGGTCTTTGGCTCGGAGATGCTTGCAGCTCCATGGGAAATGGATGCACGGAGCCAGGCAGGGAGCTGGGGATGCTGCCGTGTCCGAGGGAATGTGCCAGCAGGGGTTTTCACCTTTTCCTTAACAAAAAACCCTCTTTTCAGGGTAGTGGCAAACCAAATCTTTTGGGTACTGTTGGCCGTGTTGCCTGAAAAGTCCAGCAATGAAATGAGTTTGTCCTTGAGCTCTGCACCAGGCGTCCAGCCCACAGTGTGGTGCAGGTTTGTCCTTGTTATCCGACTGTTCTCATTGCAAATCTCCAGGAAAATAAGGTGGGAAGCGATGGCTGCAGAGGGAAAGAAACCTGAACTGAAGGAGGCTGTTCCAAGAGGGGAGGCAGCGTTTGGCCAAAGCAGAAAACATTTGACCTCTAAATACACTTGCAAAGCAATTTTTTTGCTATATTTTGTCCGTAGCTTCTCGTGTCATGGATCAATCTTCCCTCTTCCCCTCCCTCTCTTAATTCTGCTTTTAATAAGATGTTTATGATCATACACCTCCATCCTCCATGATTTACCCAGGGTGGTTTTCCTGCTTCACCTCTGCTTTTCTCACTGTGAATTATTCATGTCTGCCTGCTGGGGAGCCTTGGAGAGGGCTCTTTCATCAGAAACCCTTATCCTCCCGCGCATCCTTCGGCGCCTTACAGCCGGTGTGGGAACACAGCGTCGGTAATTGCACCGCTAAGTTCAGCGGCCAAAAAAGCTGCGTGGTTATGTTGGAAATACATCACAGTGTTTGAATTGTCAGGTTGCAGTTTATTTTATGCAATTCAATTAAAGACGGGGATAAAAAAACAGGTTTTTTCTGCTTTCAGGGAGCTGGGCATCCCCCATAGCACACCGAGCATGGGGGGCTCTGGAGCTTGGGGTTGGCAGCACAAGCTTGAATTATTTTTCTCTTGGTGTTATGTTTAGGGAAATCGGTCATGGTGTTCACCTCGAGATGTAAAAATAAATGACTCCCGGCGTGCACAGTGACTTTCAGGACTTTCTTGTGTTATTTCATTTTTTTAATATTTTATTTCCACCTTTATTTTATATGTGCTGGCTGTCCAAGGTTTTGTGGAAGTGTATTTCCCGTGTAAAGGCCTGATGAAGCGCGTGCTGCAGAAGTTCACCTACGCATGTGCAAGTCGGTTTAAATCTGCCAATTGACATTTATGTATTTGTGTGGATGTGTGTAAGGTCAGAGAGGAGCGAGTGCTCGTTCATCTTACATGGGTGTGTATGCAGGGACGTGAATGAACGATCTTGGCTGCTTAAACCAACGTGGTAATGAAGACTATAACGGAATAACAGTAATAGCAGTAGTAGTAGTAGTAATAGTAGTAGTAGTAATAATAATAGTAGTAATAATAATAGTAGTAATAATAATAGTAAGAAGAAGAAGCAGCAGCAGCTTTTTTCCTAGGATTACAGAAATAGTTTAAAAGAGAACAGAGCTGGAAGAGAGGTTGATTTGTTTCCTGGTTGTCCTGTGATTTCACTATCAAAAGAAAAACTAAATCCTAGGTCCGTTAAACATCATTTTTCATGCTTTCTCCTGCAGAACACGGCCAGAGCCAGCTGTGCTTCTGCAGAACAGGGCCAGAGCCAGCTGTGCTCCTGCAGGACACAGCCAGATCCAGCTCTGCTCCTGCAGAACAGGGCCAGATCCAGCTCTGCTCCTGCAGAACAGGGCCAGAACCAGCTGTGCTTCTGCAGAATCCATTCCAAACCTGGCCTTTCCAGCTCCTTTCCATTGCTGCCAAACCTGTGCCTTGCCCAGCACCGTTGTGCAAAGGGGGATGTCTCAAGCATCCTTTTGTCCTCTAAAAGCACATTTCCAGAAGCCACACTGATATTTCGGTTTAAAGCCCTATCAGAAGGAGGGAGCCATGCAGGACCCCTGTGTCACACCATGGAAGCAGAGAAGGCAGCGGTGGGCGCTCCCAGGGAGGCTGGAGCCGGATGGGACTTCACTGCCTTCAAAGGCCACCGTGGCCGGGGACACTTTGATTCCCTGTTATCAGATGTTTCATCAAGAAAGACAAATTTAGAGGCCCTTTTGATATGTATTGGCTGCTCCCTACTCCTGGCTCCTTTAATGTGCAAATTAATTGCTGTGGTTTGTAATTCTTCTTTTGCGCTACCCATAAAAGTTGAGTAAGTCATCTTCTGAGAAAAATGACATCTATTTTAATTTTTATTATTGTAATATATTCCGCGGCAAAGCAGAGCCAAATGGCAGAGACTCCAGGCTTTTCCTGGGTGTAGTTCCTGTTACATGTGTGCCTGTTCTGTAGTCTGAATGATTTTAACATTAATTTAGTAGTGTTTTGATGTGTGAATCTGCATATAATATGTGGTCCTAGACAAAGCACTGCTTGCAAGTAGTCTCTTGAAGCTCCTATGCCAAAGTTTTAGTCTGTTTAGCAGATACAGTGCTCCATAACTCATGCTGCTTAACTTTGCCTAAAATTTTGCAGCCTTTAAGGTAGAAATCCAAGCCCTAAGGCATGAGGTTTGTAGACTCCCATCCTAGGAGGGACACCCCAGGTCCCATCGCCAGGGTGGCTCTGTGTCACCGTCCGGTCCTGCTGTCACCGCTCTGCGCCACCATTCACGTTCTGTGTTTAAAGAGAAGTGGAAGGACAAGAAGACAAAATAAATAATCTCTCTTTTCATATTTCTTACTGTCAAAACTGCTTTTTTTCTGATGGCTGAGTCTGCACCTCATACCTGCTGCCTTTCTGCCTTTCCTTACCGTCCCTTGTGGCCTCTCTGTTACCAAGACTTGAGCATTTTGTAGCCAGCTTCTGTGTTCGGCATTTCAGGATGGAGACAGCAGTTTGTAAAGCAGAGGACCGTGTTCTTCCAGCTGCTGCCAGTGGAAATGCAGTTAAACGCCCATCGGTGGCTCCTCAGAGGTGACCCCAGTGCCCACCAGTATCTCCTGACTGGGAGGAGATGTCCGTGTCCCATCGGAAGATGAAGTTTTGGGTTCAGGGAAAGGAGGATAAAAGCTTGGGGTGTTAAAAGCCTCACTCTAAAATGTATGAATATGAAAATAGATCCCATTAAAATACAGTGTGCTATTGAGGAAGGTGATGTGGTTCTCAGCACACTGGTGTGTGTATAAAAGAAGGATTGAGGGAGGACGAGGAGAGGGAGAAGAGACTCGGAGCCACGTGGAGTGGTTTGGGTTTTCTTCACCCATTTTGGCTTGTTGGGAATGGGTTTATTTCACATTAAAAATGAATCCTTTCCCCTCACAGACAGCAGCAAGGAATCAAGCAGACCCTCCTGCCCGCCCACCTTGATCCTACATACGGAGAGGAAGAGCAGCCCCGCGGAGAGCGACGGCGAAAAGGTCTGCGATGGAGTTCCTGCTGTTAAAAACCTCTTTACTCAGGGTTGTTTCCTGCAGTCGATTTTAAAGAGCTGCCTATTGAATTTATCGAGGTGCTTTGTAGGAGCTCAGTCACTGCGGTGTCAGGGTATCAGGGGAGGGATGCTCACGCTGCGATCTTCCTTATGCTGGAGGAGAAGTGAGTCTATGGGATGTGTGTGGAAACGGGGAGGTGACACAGCCCAGGGTAAAATCCATGTACTGAGGAGTTCAAGTGCAGAAGCAGCATCTGGGGTTTCCTCATCTCACTGCAATGGCAGGGATGTGCAGAGCTGCTTTTGCTCACTGGATCTGGTGCTGCTCATCGCAACGTCAGGCCCTGGGGCGAGGAGGAATGTTTTCATGGCCCTTCCCTTTTTGGTGTTACCAATTTAACAGTGCTGGGCACTTCTGTAGCCCCCCTTTACAGGTCCATCCATCAAAATGACAGGGGAATGTCCACAGGTAGCAAACGGTACGTGCAACATGCACTGCTGGCTTTCCTCATGTTTGCAGCTCTGTCGGTGCTTGGGTACGTTCCTCAGGGCTTTAAGTTGTAAAATGCTTTCCGAATGAAGACCTCTGGCCATCTGCCTTATTATTTTTTAATTAAGTACGTGCTTCTCGTGTTTCGGTACCGCACGGAGCTGGATCACTGCCTCCCTCCCACACCTCCCCCTTGCAGGTGGTTTCTGTGAGCCGCTGCAATAAAAGCTGTCCTTCAGCCGGTGAAACACCGCCTGTACTTGTCAACCGTGTAGTACAACCCCAACGCGGTGCCTGTTGCTCCGGCCCCATGGCCAGCCACACACCCAGCCCCATCACAGGGGGCTTGATGGGGACAGGGGTGCAGCGAGGTCCCTTCCACCTTGGGGACCATCTCCATTCCTTCTCCTCCACTGCCCCAAGTGAGCTGTGGGCATGGGCAGCAGCCCCTCTGCTGGGTTTTCATTTGCTTTGCCATAAGTGGGATGACATTTTGTATTATTTCTCATTTATCTAGGCTGTTTTTGAGGTAGGTGGTTGTTCATAAAGCCACTCGGATAATGGCAATAAGAGTAATCCACTTGGCATTGAGGGGAGTGATTTGTGTAACCAGAACAACCTCCTCCAGTGGCTTCATTTGCTGACTCATCTCTATTTGTCTCTCAAGGATCATCCTTTCAAACTTATGAATGAGGATGGCAGCACATCCAACGGCAACAAGCCTGTGGCATCCACACC